TAAACTGCTGCAGATCTCGCCTAAGGTGCCACTTTAATTCAATTAACACCAATACTAGCAACTCCGGAATAATTCATCTCTTTTCTTAATTTGGGAGACACCCAGAAACCTCGGTGCACACCCCCATGTTGGATAAAGACCAGCCTTACAGGGAAACAGAATAGGATCCCCTCATTTGCATACATCTCCCCTTAATTAAGACATTAAATATGATCTTCTGCTTTAGACACACATGCATGAGCTTTCAGCAGACGCGGTGTGCATACAGATTTTAATTCCCCCTCGAGCGTGGGGTCTGTAACACGATTAAAGTCTGCCTGAAGACATCGTGCACGGTGTGATTTCACACTTATTGTTTTTGCTGACAAAAAGGATTAACCGCTTCAGAAATATGTTCGAGTCTGTCACATTTCTCAGCAGCAACGGGGGAATTTAACAGAAATGCACAGGACAGGGGCTGAGAGACACATTTTACTGAAATTAACACATTTTTCTTTACTATTTAAAGGGATATTCCACTTCAAATCATGCTCAGGCATATCAGTTACTGACTGTGTTTGTTACAAACCAGTTTGTTTGCACTTATTTTACTGATAATTTTTGCAGCACTTCCAAGATACCTGTTTACTGTGTTTTAAAAACCTTTTATTCATCTTTTTCCTTCAACAGTGATTTTGACTTACACTAGACCTGACTTTGGCTCGAGGTGACTCAAGACTCATCTGCATTTTGGACTCAGAATCTGGACAAGAGGACTTAGACATACTGATATGGAACAAATGTTCTTGTTTTATCTCTTTAATATAATCCTGATATTTTATCCAGTTTTAAACAAGAAATGGTACATGTATTCGCCTACAAACCCGTCCATGTGCTGTCTCTCATTCTGCAAAAGTTCTTGCCAGGATGCCAGAACAGACGCTATGAATTGTGAGTTTTGCTTTCAAGGTTTTTTGCAGCAAATGCAAATAAGAGCAGCGTAGCATGTTTACTGTGTGTAAGAAGAACCATAAAAGAAATCTTGGGTTCAAATCCAGGTCAGGGCGTTTCTGTGTGGAGTTTGCATGTTCTTCCTGTGTCTGCGTGGGTTTACTCCGGGTACTCCAGTTTCCTCCCACAGCCCAAAAACATGCCTAAGTGGGGTTAGTTTAATTGGCCACTTTCAAATTGCCCATAGGTGTGAATGTGAGCATGGATGGTTGTTCGTCTCTATATGTCAGCCCTACGATGAACTGGCGACTTGTCCAGGGTGTCCCCTGCCTTCGCCCGAAGATGCTGGGATAGGCTCCAGCCCCCCCTGCGACCCCGGCAACTGGAATAAGCGGTAGAAAATGGATGGATGGATGGCTAAAACAAAGTCAAATCCTCCCCATAACTCCAGAAACATCTTATTTTAAAAATTTGATCTGAATTGATAATAATAAGTAAAGAAGGAAAATTTACCTTTCAGGTTGCTTACAGGAAGAGTTAATTTTGTTTTTATTTTCTACTTACTACAAGCAGTTTGGGTGTCCAGAGTGCAAACTGCAAATACTCAAAAAGAAGCGTCACTTCTTTAAAACCAAAAGACACTTCAGCTGAGTGTGCAAAAATGCACCACAAACCTCAAATCTGTGCTAAGCTCGATGCACCACTAGGTGGGAGCAGATCGACTGCTTACTGACTTCTGTTCTGACTGCTCAGGCTGGGATTTGTGCAGAACGGATGCTTGAGTGTAAATCTGAACATTTTCACACACACACCTTCATCCCAGTGAATCAAAGCAAATCCCTGATACGACCAAATCAAGCGAATACACAAAGTCTGCATGTGAAGGGCAGATGGTTGTGTCAGCGTCTCCACTCTGAACATCAGCTGCAGGTTTGTAGTAAAAAGGGTTAAATAATGAAAGAAGCAGAGCAGGTCTCCAAACCCACACCCACTCCCAAGACATCAGCAGCTACAGCTTCAACAGCAAGACAGAGGGAGGAGAGGGCTCTCCAAACTGGACGACACACACACACACACACACACACTCACACACACACATGCAGACCCCTGAGCAGGCTGAAGTGTCCTTTCCTGTGTAGTGGAGTGGGGAGGCACAGCAAGAGGTTGCCCCACTAAAAGAAGATAAAATAGCTCCATCCATTAGGAGGTCTGTGGGAAATACAACAAATGAAAAGGGCTTCCAGAGGAGATTGTTCAAGCAGCCCATTACCTCACTCTGACACACACATCCACACATCTACACACACACACACTCACACACACACACACACACACACACACACACACACACACACACATATATCCACCCAAACCGATGCCCCCTCTGCCTCTCATGTCAGCGTTCACACACAGACAGGTTCTGCTTTTGCTTCTGCAGGACGGGGCCAATTAAAGAGCCCCGGTGATGGTTTAGTACCAGTACGCTTGGATAAGCAACAGACACACACACACAGGGAGGAGGGGGATGGAGAGAGATAGGGGGGAATCAAGGTAGTCCTGGAAGCTTGAAAGGAGGGCAGAGGGGATTCTGGGAGCTGTAACCCTCAAGCGGCTCTGTGTACGCCCTTGTTATCCTCCTTTTACACTAGTTTGGAGTGATGAGGGCACACTCAGGTCTCATCCAGTGTGCTGGTGTGCACAGGTGCATCTCAATGAATTACAATATCATGAAAAATGTTCATATTGTCCAACAGTCATAGACTAATAACACATGAGATAAATAAGGATTTGGATATCTTCATTTCTAATGCCTGAAACAGGTGAGAGGGGGCAGGTGTCAACTAAACTTAAAATTTGAACATAACATATGAACAATAAATGATGTATTTCACTGTAAAATAACAGCAGGATAAGATTTTTTTTGTCAAAAAGATAGAGAAGACGAGAAACGTAGAGGCTTTTTTGTCCACAAGGCCCCAAATCAGAAGAATTTAGGGCCCAATTTGACACCTGAGGACAGAAGGGGCGGGGCTTGATTCTGATCAGGTTTGAACCTGCTTAATTCGTTGACATGCACCGTTAAGTACAGCAATCTCTAAGTTATAATGACTTATTTGAGTTATATGGTTTTTTTAGTGGCAGCAAAAACACGATGCATAGCCCCAAAAAAAGCCCCAGAAAATCACTTTGTTTTTGTAAAATTCCCACTCTTTCATGCATCTGAAATATTAAATTGTTTGGGATAGAGATGGATTTCAAGGCTGACCTGCTGTCTGAAAGTGCAAACTAAAAATAGGAGGCACATAAAAGGGGAAATAAAAACAGAAACAGAGAGCTGTGTGGGGGTTAATGTGGACGATGCCCAGTGTACGGTGCAGCGGGTTAACTGACCACTGCTGCACGAGCTGGGAAATAAAAAATGTCCACGTGGTCCGGTCTAATGACACCATTACTGGCCCTCTTGATGCCTCAGGCCAGCAGAGCGACACAAGAACACAGGCACATACACAGGGATAATTAAGTTTTACTGCACCTCAGAAGCAGGGAGCAAACTGTGGATAAGGAGAGGCTAAATTATTGTTTAATGATTAGAGGTTTTACGGCCTCTTCTCCTGCCAGCCTGCTTCATCCACCATCCTCTCCTAGCATGTAATGTTCCTCTCCACATGTTACTTCTCCTCTTTCTTTTTGTCGACTTTATCTCTCTTCAGATCTTTGTCATTCCTCATATCTCTTCTCTCCGACGTTGATTTCTCACTATTTTTCTCTCTGTTCTTTGTTGTCATGTTAACATCCACTTCAAAACCCCCTCTTTTTTCTCTGTATCAGCTTTCAGCATCATTTATTCAATACTTATTTCAGCACCACTGTACCAACACTGTGAATATTTTATGTAACTCTACAAGGCCAAAGAATATCACACTGCTGCACACACGCGCACCAACAGAGAGGGATTAATCGATGGATCCTGCATCTGTGTTGAGTCACTCTGGATCACATGTCCATCGTTTAGTGGAGCTCGCTTAATCACAGATTCATGTTTCTGAAGCTCAGATGAGTTGTTTCATAAACATGTTGATACTCATCACAACACGCCGTGATTTCATCAGATACTCCACACCAGAATTTAGTGAATTACACTGCTCTTTAATATAAAAATATATGGTGTGTTTCATATCCAAGCAGGGGTGTGCCCAAAAGGGTGGCTTGGGGTGGCAGTGGCCCTTTGTGATTGACAGGCCACCCCAAAACCCAGAACTTATAATTATGCTGTTTTATAAAAAGCTGCGGTTGGCTTTCTCAACATTTTCGCTCCGGTTGATTTGCCAAATTGAAGAAAAAAAATACTCTGCACTCGGGCTGAAACAATACTTCGAGTACCTTGATTACAAAAATGATTGAGGAATTTTCTCTGCCTCGAGTACTCATTCATAAGCTCAAATCGTCACTATTTTGCATATATTATTTTCAAGGTGACACAACGCGCTTACGTCACCACGGTAGAAAGGAGGTGTAAGCGCGGTTTTGGTTTTGCAGAGTGGAAAAATTGAACAATGAGAGGGGCTTTTCTTCTGCAGAGCTCCAGTCGCCCATGAGGCACGTCACCTCTGATTCATGGGCGGAGACAGCGCAGCTCTGCACATTCGTCTTCTAGCCAGCCTGCAGCCTGAAATTGAGGTTGTAGTAGCAGAAGCAGGTAACTTAGGAACTATTCAGCTCTCGGACACTAATATCTTTGGGGACATGATGAAAGCTAATATCATAATTCGCTTTCTTATGAACATTGCAATCCACTAAAGCGCACACTTGTTCCGTGATTGTACCGCGATGATTGCATTTTAACTAAAAAAGTATGTTTTATCTGATTAATCGACGGAATATTTAGAAGAATACTCGATAACTAAAATATTCGATAGCTGCAGCCCTACTATGCACATCTACTCAGAAAGTCAGGAGGTCAAGTGCATCAAAATTTAAAGCAAACTTCTTCACACTACTGTCAAAATGACAATAATAACAGTAATATGTTTATTGGAAAAGCTATAGTGTTTAAGTGAAGTGTTTAAATCTCAGAAAGGTGACTCAAAGGTGAACCAGAAACACAGCAGGTAACTCAAGAACCGTCTGATCCATATTGTGATTCCTGCGAGCTGTGAGCCGTAATCCATCTTATCTGAATCTACAGGCTCAGTCTGTAAAGTCTGACAGTCCAGAGCTGTAGTCTGGATGTATTTTACGCTGTCAGCTGTCTGGGTTGGTGGTTTTCTCCCCCTTTCTGGCGTCACAGTTTCCCCACGATATGAAGCACCTGAGCGTCTAATGGGAATCTGCTGGCTGCTGCTGTTGACATGCCCTCTGCAGACACACACACATACACACCCCACACCTGTCTGCTGTCTGTGACTGCTCAGTGGCAGCTCCATACCAGTGGTGAACAGAGCACACAGCTGGGGCGCACACCGCTTACGCTCCCCAAATACACAGGGAAGAACACACACAATTACAGCAACATAAACTTGTGTTACATGCATATTTTTGGGTATTAGTTTGGACTAATTGTTATTGGACGTTATCACATTTTGAGGTGTGACATATGATTGATGCAGGAATGCAGGAATTCAGCTGCTCCGTTTCTCGATTGGTTCATGTCCTGCTTGCAAGTGAGATAATGAACCAAAAAAGCCAATTTTCTCTTGTCATCATCCTGCTGTTTGTCCCCTTAGAAATTACCATAATAATCCTGCAGATCAGCACAAAACCTCCTTTAGTGTGACTGCAGAGCTGAGGTATCTCAGAGCTTTTATAAACGTTACTGCCTCTGTAATAAGATTTCAATGTTTAGCAGGATTTTTTAAGTGTTTCCCTCTGCACGGCCTCACAGCCACTCCATTCATAAATAACTTAATCACGTCATCTACTACGCTCATTCACAGTTATCGCTTGGATAGCAGCGACACACTCCAGCTGCACACAGACTCAGCCCTCCTCCTCCTCTTTGCTGTGTACTACTCATAGACAGTCTATGGTACTACTCCTCCACGGCTCTCAGCTGTTCAGAGGCAGACGCTTCTGTTGATGCTAATTTGTTTCTTTAGTCCATACAAAGACACTAAACTGTGAACCAGATATCAATTTTTAATTTATAAAACTTGAGTCAATTATTCATTCTCTCTTCTGGGTCAGAGGTCAACTGTAATGTCAACTGTTTTCAGCCGTTGTTCAGTACAGGGGCAATAGATGAGGCTGCACGATTCTGGCCAAAAATAAAATCCCTATTTTTTTCACCAAACATTCAATTTTCAATTTTTTATTCAGTAACAACTTAACTAAACAAAAAAGTTGATCTATCATCTCTCAAAAACGAAACCACTTAAAATGATGTAGTGCATATGCAAGCCAGTAAGTGGCGCTGTAACGCTACAGAGGAAATGCACAAAAGACAGAAGAAGAGTACGGAGCATGGGTATTAAGGTAGTTTTGGCCGGACACACGCAGGCGCCATAAAAGAGTTCCGCTCTGTGTCACATGATCGTTTCCAGAGATGCAGATAGGCATCCACACGGAGATGAAATGGTCGTCGTTTACAGATTTATGCACTCTCTGACCCATTTTCAGAAAGTTTCGTTTACAGTCACCTGAAACGGCGTTTCTGTATGGATGAAATGCCGATATGGCAAAAAACTTTTGCGTTTACTCCTGAATTTGTTTCCATGTGTGCGGGGAGTGGTTTGCTCTTCATCAGAAACTGTGAAGTCGTACCAATTCCACACGACTGACTTGCTCTTGTCCTATTTAGCCACGAAATTATCACCTTCTTTTGCAAACGCCATGTTTGTTTACACTGGTGCGTGTGGGAAATGGGGAGCGCTCCCGCAGGAAGGGGGAGCCTATGGTGGCCTGGAGGTGCAAGACATGATAGAGAGAAAAACGATTTGACGATTTTAATTTTTTTAACATCGTCATAATTAAACAATCCGATCACCATTTAAATAGATTGTTATTTCTGCAACCATAGAATGGTTACCAAGTGGCAACTTCCAGTCTTAAGGAATTAAACTAATGTAGAATTGCTAAAAACTGCAGTTCTTCCTGTGTCCACTTGAGGCTGGCTCTAAGAGAACAAGAGGCCACATACACACCCATTCAAAAAAGCTTATCTTTACAGACAAAATAAACACGTTTACAGTTTAGTACAATAAGGATTTTGGCATTAATCGCTTATTTCTCAGTAAACACACACTGCACTCATTCATTTTGATGATTTCAAGATTACAAGATGTGGCTGACACAGCAGCTGTTAGCAAGGAGGCTAAAAGCTTACAAGTTCCAGGGTATGTTTCGATGAAGACTTTGCACCCTAATTAAAGAAAAACTTCATACAGAGCTGATGCAACAGGTCACGGTGAACTTTGACCTGCGACTACATGAACCTGACATAACACTGTTAGACTATATCCCCAGCTGGCACTTCAAGCAGCTTTCCCAGGCTCTAAACGGTCATCATCAAACCTTCAGCTGTACTCATCCTTAGAACCATTTGCCTTTTTTTCAAACTCTTCAATCCAGAAAATGGAGCCTATCTCAGCCTGCTGATGTAAACAGATCTGTCTCTGCACGGCTCCTCAGCTCTAAGCCTTTCTAAGGAGTGGCTCGTTGGACGGAAATCAGAGTTTGATCCTCTGAGCCGAGAACCAAAGCTCTCTCCTGCTCGTCTCATCTTAGAGGCGCTCACTTTCTAATCTTATCCCTCTTGTTCTCTCCCTTAACCTCTCTATCATTTCACCACCTCACTCAGTGGTCTATATTTCCTCTCTTATCCCTCCCTTTTGTCCTGACCGCATCTCCTAGCCTCTGCTGTACATGGCGTTGACACTCTCTGGCCTTCATGAATAATTTATCAGGATTACAGGATGAGAAGAAGGCATTACCACCAAAAGACCCAACCAAAGGATTGATGGACAAACGTGTTTTAATCTACATACATGACAGCAAAACACCATATGCAAGAATTTCAGGGGGGTGGAATCAACCTGCGGTTACTTCTTTCATAAAAAAAAATATTTCTACTTAATTTTTTTTGTATTTAATGAGTTTGTTCAGTCTTTTTTTTATATTTCCCCCTTTTCCTCGAAGTGTTTACTTGCTGTTTCCTTATTCCCTCCAGTCTGTGAAGCCATCTCTATGTTTACACCACCGAGGATTCCCCTGGAAGCATCCCCTCCGTCCCAAATGTGATTACACGAAATTCCCACCGCCAATCCTTCTCCTTCCACCAAACATCCTCTCTTCCCATTTCCCTCCAGGAAATACCACAACAACCACGAGGAGGTTTTCCTTCAGGAATCCAATCACATTTTACCAAAACACAGATTATTTTCACTCTTAAAACGGGGCAGGGATTCCTTTTTACCGTCTGACCGTGAGCACAAAAGCAAACACCACCTCCCTGACTTCCTCCATTGATTCAATCTGGCAGCTTTTTGTCATTAATTCTACTGGCGGTGACACCGGATCCTATTCTTCCCCACTCTTCCTGAACCAGCCAACGATGCATCCAGATAAAATTCCATTTCTCCAGCTGACAGGGCAGCCCCTCTCCGACTCCTCGTCCTCCCCTTCGCTCCCGACTTGCTGACAGCCAGCCGGCTTTTAATGCACGCAATTGATTCAGTGGCCTTTCTGTGCCGAAACTACATGAGGAGCTAATAAATGGGGGTTACTCCACACTGAGGCTATGACCCCAGATGGATGACCCTGCCTGGACAGATAACAGGAGGTAGAGAAAGGGATGCCAGAGAGAATAGCTGAGAGAAAGAAGTGCTGAGGATTGACGAGAAGGAAAAGACACCTCAATTTGCTTTTCCCTTTCACCAAAACCTCAGAGATACCCTGGCCTAGTTTACTATTTATATATGTGAGGAGCAGGTACATGAGCGACTGCATGCATGTGTAATCATGTGGACATAATGAGGACAGATGAGGTCATTCTGGTGCTGGCTGGGATGGTGCACCTGTAGGGGATGTGGTGGGCTAGATCAGGGGAAATGATATATTAGAGCTGGGGTCATGTTTGGATACAGAGCTCTGCAGATCTGGAATAAAATCACCAGCATTACCAGAGCCATCATCCATCCGCCATCCATCATCAGCCACATTGCCATTATCACCATCCATCACCCGTGTCGGATAGTGCAGACGAACTTGACGGCAGAGGATAATGAATCAGTAATGTTTTTTTTTATGCTCAACCATGGTAAAGCACAAAATGAACACTCTCTCTCTCTTTCCCAAAGCAGCTGTGGCTCAGTGGTCGAGTTTATCGTCTCTGGATTGAAAGTGTCAAGGGTTTGATCCCAAATCCAGCTGTCAGATGTAACAGTAAAGAACCGCCTGGATGGACTCAGACAAAACAGCACATTTGCCGGTTTGAAAGGATGGTTTGCAAATCAGTGAGTAACATCTTGGTGGCAGTCTTTAATATTTCACGGTAGGGCTGGGCGATATGGCCTCAAATCAATATCACGATCTATTGATCAGTTCACCTCGATAACGATAAATGGACGATAACTACTCCACAAGCTGTTCACCCCCTCCCACGTTAACTTCCTCCACTTCAGCCGCTACATCTTTTGAACCGTCCTCCATCTCCTCACCTGTCTTTCCCCCTTTCTTATGGGCTGGATGGGGTGGAGTCACGTCTCTGATGTAGGACAGCATCTTAAAAGGGACATGAGACCACAGCCTACCGACACACATCCAAAACCAACTTTTATTTATTTGTGTTTCTGACACAGATTAAAAAGATATGGGAAAAATGATGTTGGTTATTGTCGTAAATTTTGGTATCTCAACTCAACTCAACTTTATTTACAGAGCACTTTCAATACAACCAAAGATGACACAAAATGCTGTACATAATGACATAAAAACATAAAACAACAATAAATAGTTGTTTTAAAATATAATAAAAAGCAATAAAACAAATGCCATCTAATGCTGGGTCAAAAGCCAAGGAATAAAAGTGGGTTTTTAGACAGGTTTTAAAAATGGGCAGTGAGGGAGCTTATCTAATGTGGAGAAGTAAGTCTTTACACAACATTGGAGCAGCAACAGAAAAAGCTCTGTCTTCTCTAAGCCTCCGCTTAGACCTTGGTCTAAGGAGCAGCTAGTCAGCTGACCTGAAGCACTGGGCAGGAGAGGTATGATGAGGACAAACCATTTAAGGTTTTAAAAACAAATAAAAGAGTCTTAAAAATGAACTCTAAAATGCACAGGCAGCCAGTGGAGGGAGGCCTGAATGGGAGTGTTGGTAAATTTCCGGTTTTTCGTCCAGCCTTATTTCACAGTCCATTTGT